GGGAGAGTTTGAGTCCCTGCGCAGTTCCTGTTTTGCTGGTTCCAAAGAAAGACAAAACTTGGCGAATGTGTGTTGATAGCCGGGCAATCAACAAGATAACAGTCAAGTACAGGTTTCCCATTCCACGGTTAGAAGATATGCTGGACGTTCTTAGCGGCTCAAGGGTGTTTTCTAAGATAGATTTGCGAAGCGGATACCACCAGATTCGCATACGACCTGGAGACGAATGGAAAACAGCGTTCAAGAGCAAGGACGGATTATTTGAATGGTTGGTGATGCCATTCGGATTGTCAAATGCACCTAGCACTTTCATGCGGCTCATGAATCAGGTTCTTCGACCATTCATTGGTTCTTTTGTCGTTGTTTATTTCGATGACATTTTAATTTATAGTACCACAAAAGAAGAACATCTTGTGCATTTGAGACAAGTTTTAGATGTGTTGAGAGAAAATAAGTTGTATGTGAACCTTAAAAAATGTACTTTCTGCACAAATAAGCTACTGTTCTTGGGTTTTGTTGTTGGTGAGAATGGTATCCAGGTAGATGACGAGAAGATCAAGGCAATCCTTGATTGGCCAGCTCCAAAGACAGTTTCTGAAGTTCGAAGCTTCCATGGCTTGGCCACCTTTTACAGAAGATTTGTGAAGCATTTTAGCACCGTTGCTGCACCTATCACAGAATGTTTGAAGAAGGGCCGGTTCAGCTGGGGAGAGGAGCAAGAAAGAAGCTTTGCAGAAATAAAAGAAAAGCTTTGCACCGCACCGGTTCTAGCTCTTCCAAACTTTGAGAAAGTTTTCGAAGTTGAATGTGATGCTAGCGGTGTGGGAGTCGGAGCTGTGCTCTCACAAGACAAGCGGCAAATTGCATTCTTTTCTGAAAAGTTGAGCAATGCACGTCAAAAGTGGAGTACTTATGACCAAGAGTTCTATGCGGTTGTTCGCGCTTTGAAGCAATGGGAGCACTATCTTATCCAGAAGGAATTTTTTTTGTTTACAGATCATCAAGCGTTGAAGTATATTAACAGCCAGAAAAATATTGATAAAATGCATGCTAGATGGATGACTTTTTTGCAGAAATTTTCGTTCGTTATCAAGCATACTTCCGGCAAGACCAATCGTGTGGCAGATGCGCTGAGTAGGAGAGCTTCATTATTAGTCACGCTGACTCAAGAAGTTGTGGGGTTTGAATGTCTGAAGGAATTATATGCAGGTGACAATGATTTCCGGGAAATTTGGATTAAGTGCACTAATCAAGAGCCAATGGCAGATTACTTTCTCAATGAAGGTTATTTGTTCAAAGGCAACCAGCTGTGTATTCCAGTTTCTTCTTTGAGGGAGAAGCTCATTCGGGACTTGCATGGTGGAGGGTTGAGTGGCCACCTAGGCCGTGACAAAACAATTGCATTGTTGGAGGATAGATTTTACTGGCCACAGCTCAAACGTGATGTTGGAACTATTGTGCGCAAGTGCTACATTTGTCAAACTTCGAAGGGGCAGGTACAAAACACTGGATTATATATGCCATTACCTGTTCCTAACGATATTTGGCAAGATCTTGCTATGGATTTTGTCCTCGGATTGCCCCGAACACAAAGGGGAGTGGACTCTGTATTTGTGGTGGTTGATCGGTTCTCAAAAATGGCGCATTTCATAGCCTGCAAAAAGACTGCCGATGCATCAAATATAGCCAAACTGTTTTTCAGGGAGGTTGTTCGCTTGCATGGGGTTCCTACATCCATTACATCTGATCGTGACACCAAGTTCTTGAGTCATTTTTGGATCACTTTGTGGAGACTGTTTGGGACTACTTTGAATCGTAGCAGCACTGCCCATCCCCAAACTGATGGCCAGACTGAGGTTACAAACCGGACATTGGGCAATATGGTGCGAAGCGTCTGTGGAGAGAAGCCGAAACAATGGGATTATGCATTACCGCAGGTGGAGTTTGCATACAATAGTGCAGTCCATAGCGCTACTGGGAAGTCTCCATTTTCCATTGTTTATACTGCTATACCTAACCATGTTGTAGATTTGGTGAAACTTGAGGAAGGAGAGGTTTCCAGTTGGCACTTACAGCAAGCTTAAACCGAAGAAATATGGTCCTTACAAAGTGCTCAAACGGATCAATGATAATGCCTATGTTATTGAGTTACCGGATTCCATGGGAATTTCCAATATTTTTAATGTTGCAGATTTATATGAGTTCCGTGAAGATGAGGTTCTTTATCCAGATCATAACTCGGGGTCGAGTTCTTCGGAGGTGGAGAGGACTGATGTAGAACAGATGGTAGATTTTATCGCGGTTGAGCAAGAAAAGAGACGTGGTGAGAATTTGCAGAATTGTCGTCCGAGCTCCGATTAGGGAGCAAAATAGCATTTCGGAAAGGGAACGATGCCACGAGTCAAACTCACTGCTTTGCTGTGATATACGATGGGTTTTGGCATTCTGGAGTCGTTTGGCTTTTCAAAACTGCATTCAAAGTTCGAAGTTAATTCCAAATAAATTCTGTTTTTCCGTTTCGGAGTTACATAGTTAATTCCCAAAATAAATTCTGTTTTTTTCAGTTTCGGAGTTACGTAGTTAAGTCTCCGAATTAATTCTGTTGTTCAGTTTTATTTGTAATAACTCCCCTAGCAGTTACAAGGGTTGAGAGTTGTGTATTTAGACGGGTTCATCTAACGTTTTTTGGCAGTTCAGATTTTAATCAAATTAATCAAAGAGAGTTTCTCTTAATTTCTGGTGGATTCCAGTTTCCTTGTTAACTCAAGGTTTTCGTTTGAAACCTTATTTGCTTGTGCTGCGTCTTTTTTTTTTTTGGAAACAGTAAATTTTCATTCAACAGTCAAAGTTACAGACTCAAGCGAACAAATGTGGCCTCGTCAAAACTTTGTCTCAGAAACCTTGCTTGAATTAATAATTAAAGGGTGTTTTAGGAATAATGGTGGGTGGAAAGATATGATTGTATTTTTTCAAATTTATATAATGGGTGGGAAGATAAGGTGGGTGAGAAAATAGGACAGGTGGGTAGAAATAGTAGCACTCTTTCTTAATTAAATTGGATTTAATTAGGATAATTATTTGACCTAAGAAATATCATTTTTTTCTACATTCTTATTGGTCGCCGAAATATATGTTCCCGCACATATCATACCTCAAGTGAGTTAGATACACCACATCAACATGTCAAGAAATACAGTATACTATTGTATAAGTTATCTTGGTTTTAGACATTCGGTTGATGTTTATCACGTGGTGAACTAATATTATGACTCAGACTTGCATAACTATATATGTTAATACATTATTCCAAATATTGCTTTCTAAGGCAAATGAACAATGTTTTATACAATCTGTATATTCAAAGAGCTCAACAAGTTTGACCTAACCCAAAATTTCGGGCTTCGGCTATCCCAATTCGTCAGTTTTATATTTAATGGGTGTTAGTTGGATTGGCCCAAGCTTTTGACGTGCTCTTAAGTGGTCATAAATTCAAATCCCCATAGTACTCGTGTGTGAATTTTCCCTCTCCTCTTTCTAACTTTGACGCAAAAAAAAAAAAAAAATTATATATATATCTCACAAATATAAATTCAAAATGAGAAAAGAAAAACTGTATCTAAAATCATTTTACAACAAATATGTGTGTAAGAATGGCAAGTGTCAAACTGTCATCTATTTCAGTCGGGTCCCGTTAGCCTGCTAAGCCTACCCAACCCGAGAGACAAATGGGCTAATGAGATCCCTGAAAAGTTCACCTAATGCAGCATACTCCTCAAACGCTTTGACATGAGCCCCAAACCGAAAGAACTGCGGAAGAAACAACCAAAAGCAGGTCCCCATCACGAATCCAACGGTCAACAATCCAGAGACCAACCTCGGCAACCGCCACCTGCCGGCCGACCATGCCTTCTTCAAAGCAATCTCAACCGTCAAACATATCCCATGCAGTAGAAAAAAGCACGTGACCCCCCACGTGGGCCGCATCCTCCCCATGTGATAAAACACGATTTCGTGCATCAAAGCTGATACCACAAACGTTGCGAGCACTGCGGGCAGCGGTGCCCACTTGCGATCAACGACGCGTCGGGAGATGTCGAGGATGGGCTCGTAAACGGTGGGTCGTAGGATGCTGGTGACCATGAGGTTCCATCGTCTGCCCCAGAAGTCTTGGAGTGAGGTGGAGAGGTAGGGCTCGTTGAACTGAGGCTCCAGCTCGATGGCTAGGAGGGCTCGAGCCAGGGTTGCAACGAAGGCTAGGATGAGTTCGAGGAGCAAGTACATGTGCAAAGAATAGAGAAGCAACAGGGCCTTTGGATGGATTTGGTCACTGTAATCATAGGCACGCAACAAAATGCCAAATAGCAGACCCTTTGTTACATAATTTAGAGGGACTCTACGGCCATGTTTTGGCTTTTGGGGAATTGGGTTTTCTTTGTTTTGGCCATTAATATGTGATTTTGGTGGAGATGGATGTGGGTTTTGTTTGAATTGGCCATCAATATATGATTTTTGGGGACCATTTTGGTGATTTGCAGGTGGGTTTTCTTTGTGTTGCTGTTGGCTATTTTCATTTTGGGTATTTTTGTGTGATTTTGCTGGAGAGGAGTTTTCTTTGAATTGGTTGTTTTGATTGGTTAGAGATGGGACTGAATCATTTTGGGTGTTTTTGTGTTTGCCTAATGAATTTGGGGGTGGGTTGTTTTGTTGGATCTTGATGGGAAGGCAAGCAACAGCAACAAAGCGACCAAGAGAGATTGGTGGGTCAGAAGACAAAGGTCCTTTACCAAAAGCCAAGAGGAAGAGCTTGAAGTTGGCAAGCCAAGAAATGAAAAATGATGTAACGCCCACAAGATGTATGGAGGAGAGAAAGAGAGGAAGGTAGAGAAAGAGACACACAATTGGAAGCAAACAAAGGAGTCTTGTGCAACCTTTGGGAAGTAATTTTGCGGTGGCATAGCAGTAACATAGACAAAGATAGACTGAGAGCCATACCTTGAAGAAGTTGCTCATCTCGCCCTCCATTTGCTCTTTTTTTTCTGATCCTGTGTTCTTGATGAAAAATTCGTAACGAGGGTGTTTTGACTTAACAAATATAGGTTTTGCGAAAGAAATCTCAAGATTTTCCGCTAATATTATTAATATGACAGCAACTCTGCCCCAATGAGGGCGATGGAGATCTATATTGACCCCTTTTTTTTTTATTCTTCCATTAATATGAAATGAATATGCAGTATCCCATGTGAATAAGGCGTTCGATAAAATACGAAGAAACACTTTATAAGCTTTAGCACGCCATGTGCAAAAGTTTCTAGCTCCACTACAAGTCAACGATTATGGCCTCCATCCATCATAATTAGAGATCACTGATCAGCAATAGGTGGCATGATGCAGAAGAGTCAGCCAGCTATGGTCATTGACCTCAACCATGGCGATCAAGGCGATGGCCACGGTTTGATTTTTTTTTTTTTTTTTCTAATTTTTTAACTAGTTTGTAAGGGTTTAGACTTAAAAGAAAACTCCTCTCCATTGAAATAAAACCTAGGTATTATTACACAAAGTATACATGTACGTACATGAGATCATGCGTATCAAGATCTCTATCCCCTTGTTTTCTTCTGAAAAGTTCATACAATCTGTGAGAGTCATGATATTATTGAAGCATATCACAAGAATATGTACTCAAATGATAATTACCAATACCTAATGTCGGAAATGAATGTGGTAAATAATTACTTGAGTGAGTATGAAATGATTTCGGACTGGTAATGTTGCAACATATTCAAGTTGACAAAATGTCACTTTTGCTCCCTGTAGTTTGCTACTTTTATCATTTTGGTCCCTATCATTTAAGTTGTCAGGACATTATAACCCAATTCGATTTTTCTAAAACTGAGGTGGGTTTGTAGGTAGGGCTTGGTAGAGGAGAGAGAAGAGAGAGAAAAATAAAATTATAAATTTTTTTAAGAATAAAATATTTTATTTTATTTTTTCACACGTGGCATATATTTCAACAAAATGGTAGGTCCCATTCATGCCATGTCAGTATTTTTAACAACAAATTTTACAGAGTTAACTGTAGGAGGGCAAAGTGAACCACCAAACCTTGGTCAATGGAGCATTCTGAGTCATTTTAACTTTCAGGACGTAAAGTGATATTTGACTATAGTTTTAAAGGCCACTACAGTAAATAAGCCTAAAATATATTCTTCCCCACCCCCCCTCCCCCTCTCTCTCGTCTGCTCCCCAAACCCTAACATCAGACCACAACCCACCACCACGCTAACACCACCCAACAAGCCATTGCCTAACATCCAACACCCTCCCACCACAAAACTTCTCAATAAACCCGACCTCTTTCTCTCTCTCTCTCTCTCTTCTCCCAAACCCATCCCTTGGTGAGATGCGACCGAAAGTTGCTTCACAGCCACTACCCTTCCATCAGAAAGTGTACTGTATACCCTATGTACAGAAATACAATTCAGTGACATGAAAGGGAATGAAAGAGAAGCTCTCTTTGCTTCTCTCTCTCAATTTCTTTTCATAAGAAGTCAAAGTCATTACTTCAAAGTAGCAAATATTGATGTAAAATAGATTATTTGAAGGATTAAAATATTGATGTAAAATACCTTTTGAAAGTCAAAGTCCATATCCTCCCTCTCCTAACTTACTTGAAGGATTAAAATCTTCTATTGCAGTTCTCAACTCAGCATAATTGAAAGTATTTGGTCGGGGAGAGAGAGAGGGGGTTCGCAGAGGGGGGGCTAGGGACTGTTGGGGTAGATGTGGCTAGGAGATGGGGTTGGGGAAGTTGCGGGGTTGATTTTGGGTTTCTCTTTTTTTTTTTCTTTTTTTTTGTGGTTAGTTTATTCTTGGTTTTTTTTTTTTGGGTTTTGGTTACCTTTGTTTTTGGACCGAAATGCCCCTCAGCAACTAACGGCAGTTATTATATTTTGACAGAAATTGAGGATTGTCCTTGAATTGCTTAAATTGAAAACTGCAAGGACAAAATTGATCAAATTGAAACGATAGGGACTAAAGTGGTAAAAGTGGCAAACTACAATGACAAAAAACGACCTTCTGCCTTCAAGTTTTGATCGAAACTCCTAAAATACTTTGATACTGAATTTCACTTAGATACCAAGAAGATATGGGTAAAGCCTATCCCAATATACAACTTCAAGTTATTTTTTTTGTATAAATGATCTTTGAAATCACTTTTAGTGGTATGAAAAAATTGCCAATATAAAAATAGACTACATAAGCACAACTCTTTCAACATGGGCGTAACTAGGTTAATGGCTACAATTAGGCCTGGACAAGGTCAGGTTCGGCCCAGTTATCAAGTAAAACTGAAATTGGAATCAATACTATTCATCTAGTCCGGTTCAGATTTTAACTAAAATGCTAAAGGAAACAAGACCAACTTTGAAAGATTTAGGTTCGATTCGATTCTGGATTTTCACCATTTGGACTAGTTCTTTAGCCTAATTGATATTTTTACTAAAAGCAATGGAGCAAATCGACGAATCCATACAAGAAAAACCATATATGAACCTTAAAAGATACCCAAAAAAACAATTATCTAGCAAAACAGATGCAATCCTAGTAATATCTTAATTCACCAAAGCAAACTCTCATGTCAAGCATGTACAAGATCAATGCACCATCTCCAACTCTTTCCAGAGCCACCGAAAATGTCAACACAAAACACGCAGCCAATGGAAGAAGAACATAGTACTCCCTTAAGACTTGCTTCTCCCTCAGAATGCTTTGGGCCTAGTTCTCGCTATCTTGGAAAAAAGGGCGACAAAAGTTTGATTCACCACTCTCTGGCAATCTAAGAATCACGAAGTCCGAACAAGCTTTCTGACGAAAAAAGACCCCAACAGAAGGTAAATTAAAGATACCATTTAATTACAAAGCTAAATTGGCTGAAAAATAGTCAGAGGTAATTTCAACAAGCTTAGTTTGGGGGGTTAATTGGCAGAAAACCCTTAGATTATTTTGAATAATTTAGACTACCATTTATATTCAATAAAATAAAAGAAAAGCAATAAGTCAATTTTGACAGGATTTTCCTCCTTTAAAGTTTTTTTATAATAAGGTTTTAATGAAGCCACTCTAGGAGCACCTCGTTTGTTTCCACTTTTTCTAGTGTACTAGTTTCCTTTGATTGGCAATAAAGTTTCTTCCTTTTGATTAAAAATAAAAAAATAAAAAGACTACTGTAAAATATAATAATTTATGATATGGAATGGTCAATTTTGTCATTCAAATCATGTTATAAACACAATGAAAGAGTGCTAAAAACAAACCCTAAAATTAACTGAGTACCACCTATTACCAAACTATTTATTAAATTACTAATTTACCCTAATATAAAATGACCAAAAAAGATATGTTGAATTGTGAAACAAATGTAATTTTAACAAGTACACTCTACTCACCATTTTCAACCCTAATCAAACATAAGTGAAAAATATCTACATTTTTCAAAAGGTGAAAAACATATCTGTTCGGAATTTGATGAAGCCAATTGATTTTGAAATATGAATCTGGATTTAAGCAACATACCACTCAATTGTAATAACATAATGAAATGTATATATAGAATTCGGCAAACCTTGGCTGCATTGGGGAACTTGAATACTCTGGAAGCAGCATTCTGGCTGAAACCTCCACTACAACTTCCACCAAGTCCCAGAACATCTTTTCCCGACGAGGAGAACTTTTGAAAAGGAAATGCATGACAAGTTTCTTCAGCTTCCAAAATAGATCAGCATGAGTCATGAGTGGATGGCCCTGGACCTCGCGGACTATTTATTCTGGTGGCAACAAAACCTTGGTGTGAATCAGAAATTAGATGAGTTGGTGGCAAGCCTGCATCGCTCCCAGTTGATTGTGCATCAATTCGGTTGAGCTTTCCCTGTAAGGATGCTTAGAGAGGGGGCAACCAATGCTTCAGAGTGTATTAGGGTATATTAGGAGTATTTTTGGTAGTTAAATAAGGTATACTTAGTTAATTTTATATTTTAATTTAAATATTAATTTATATACTCATTTAATTTTAGAGTTCGTTTAGCTACACTCTAATGGAATTGACCAAAACATTAAACTTTGTAATCCTTTTGTTTAAGGTCTATAACAATTTGCCTTTGGTCATTGTATTTTAAGAATGAGCAAAAATAATTTTAAAGTTTACAAATTATTACATCATCGGTCCGACTTTTCGTCCAACTATTTTAAGTTAATCGCCATTTTTTTACAAACCAATGAGTGACTTGTATGGATACCATTTTCCCCTCTCACTATATTATTATTTTTTGGTCGATTCCCTCTCACTATATTCATAAGATTAAGATTTTCTCCGTATCCCCAGCCGTTAATTATTGTTTTAATAGTCAATTTAATTCAAGTAGAATAAGATGAGAACAGTCAATGAGAGTATAAGTTGACCTTTATAACTTATAAACATACATTCGGTGTATATATTGGTGTGTTCATAATGTGAGGTGTACGTATCCTCTTGGATTCCAATTACAATTTACAATGTGGGCTCCCAAGACAAATAACCCAGAAAAGAAACCCCTCTCTCTCTCTCTCTCTCTCCCCCCCTTTTTTTTCTCTCTCTAGGCATATCCCTTATATACAATAGAGACACCGCACAAACGGTTGTAGAAGACGACACCAAGAAAACCCAACTTCAACCAATTTTGATAGCAATTCGTTTGTATGATCACATCATACATCTATTATCAAAAACCACCACAACAAACTCTCTTCCAATCCAGAACTCCAAAACTCCAAAACCCAAAAGCAAAGTTGAAGCCTTGATTAGATTATATGGGGTACCTTTCTTGCAAAGCTGAATCAGCCATCTCCGTCTCCAATTCCCAAACCTCATCATCCAAAACCACCACCACCAACCCAGAAAAACCCATCAAGATCCAACACTTTGACTACAGTGATATTGAGGCTGCCACCAATGGCTTCTCCGACCAAAAGCTTTTAGGCAAAGGCAGCCATGGCTATGTCTACAAAGCTGTACTCCGTGGCCGTCTTGTTGCTGTTAAGAGACCCTCCAGAGCTCACAGCCAAACTCTCCGACCCACCTCATGTTCTGCGCCAGAGACCACCAACGAGGTCGACAACGAGATCGAGATCTTGTCCAAGATTCAGAGCCCAAGGCTGGTCAATCTTTTGGGCTTTTCAAATGATTCAAAGGACAGGCTTTTGGTGGTGGAGTTCATGAGCAACGGTACGCTCTATGATGTTTTGCATTCTAGTGCTAGGCCTCCCAATTGGGGTCGTAGAATTAGATTAGCTTTGCAAACTGCTAAGGCCATTGACACTTTGCATTCATCAAACCCGCCTGTAATTCATAGAGATATTAAGTCTGCTAATGTTTTAATTGATCGTAGTTACAATGCCCGGCTGGGTGATTTTGGGCTGGCTCTAAGGTACTGCCATTTTGATGACTATAGACTCCGGTCAACCCCGCCGGCGGGGACTATTGGGTACTTGGACCCTTGCTATGTGACCCCTGACAATTTGAGTACTAAAACTGATGTTTTTAGCTTTGGGATTTTGTTGTTGGAGATTCTAAGTGGTAGGAAAGCCATTGATGTTGCATATTCTCCACCTTGTATTGTCGATTGGGCGATTCCACTTATAAAGAGAGGGAAGCTGATAACTGTTTATGATCCAAGAATTGAACCTCCTAAAGACCCTATTGTGAGGAAGCAGTTGGCTGTCATTGCAGCCAAGTGTGTGAGGTCTTGTAGGGAGCGTAGGCCGTCAATGAAAGAGGTGGTGGTTTGGCTTACTGGGTTGAGTAAGTTGGTCCCCCTGCACTCATGGAATGGTTTTAATAATCCATGTACAATGGTAGAGACTATGGGACAACCGGTTGAATCAAGGAATGCCCATTTGCGTTCAAAGCTAGAGGGTGTTGGTGAAGAGAATTTGGAAGCCTTGGATGCTAAGTTGACTAGGCAAGCCCTGAGGAATTCCCGCAGAGTTTACTCTGATTTGGGGTTTAGTAGCAACCTGATGGAGCTTATGGCAGGTACTGATGGAGAGTCTGAATTTCGGGGTAATGCAGATGGAGATGAGCCCAATTTAAAATCACGGAATCGGGTTTCTAGATTTGGTAGTGAAAGATATGTTGGTAGAAGGAGTGCTCAATCAACTCCTGGTCATGGGAAAGAAGTCCCTGATTTGATCCGAAATCCTTCATTTGGGAAAAGATCATTTATATGTTCAAGGAGAGATGATGCAATGCCTCATGTGAGTGGTAGTTCCCATCCAGCTGGTGGTATACTGCTGGCTGCATAAATATTATTTGAAGTGAATAGAATGGATTGGTGGCCATGTAAGCTCTCTTGCTTGCAAATTTTACATTGATGTAGATTTGTTGGTATCTCATTTATTCTGGGTTTTATTGCCTGACCTCATGTGTATTCATTAATTTGCTCATGAGCTGTTAATTACATGACAGTAAAGGGCACATTTCTGATGTTCCAATTTTAAGTTGTTGATCTTTTTTGTTTTTCATCTTTTTAAGTTGTTTAATGATGATCTATGATACGAATGCCTCTTACTAAGTACTTAATGATGATTGCATTCCCACCAGTTGGATACTGAGTTGATTTTATACTTAGAAGTTCATATTTGCCACTTAAATACATACAGTAACACTTCTCTTTTCCTTGCATTTCTGCATTTTTTACACCATAAATTTCAAGTGGAACACAACGCATAAGTTCTATCTCCACAATTTCAGGGATCATTAGAATTTGCCAAGTAAACAGTATTTTTGAAATAGAATGAAGGATAATAAACTAGGACAAGATTTTAGCATAATGAGTTCGAAGATTTCTTGTAGCCCGTTGCATAATGCTGCACAGGAGAACTTGCAATCAGTTTTGGGTACTTCTGAGAAATGTCTCCTACATTCTCATATGTCAAGATGTTTCTGGGAGTCTACTGTTCGACAAGCAAAAGCTGCAGCAGCGTGTTTGTGAGGCTTCTGCCAAATAGCTTCTTGTGGTTGATTATAGATTTTGGAAGATATGATCATCTATATATTTACATGAAGTCTGCTTCTTGGTTCTGTAATGAAATGAAGAATACTTGGCCAATCCTTCCTCAGGAAATGTATCAAAATACCGGATGTACTTGGATTTTTAATTCAATATTTTCTGTGTTTTTAACAGAAAGTATTTAATACAAGAGCACTCTCTAAAAGAAAGCATAAGAAAAAGGGACAAAAATAGAGGTTGGCTTGGATGAAATGCACATATTCTTGTAACATAAGCCATGATGGACCAATAAAAAATTTAACAAATATATAAAGTTGAAAGCTTGTCATATATAATGGAAATCTTTTAACAACCAATCTTGCAGTTTCAAAATTTCCATCATTCCATTGATTTGTTCCACACATCATTGCAATCTCAAACTAACTAAATCATCAACATTTCCAATCACTAGTTTCCAAACTTTTCTTAATCTTTGACCTAAAGTAAACACCCAAAGCATGATGAAGTTGGATTTTTATTTATACAAATACGTATCACATCAGAACGTGTTTGTATTCATTAAATCGAACGTATTTATATCCGTTAAATCGACGAGTTCACTCTTTTAATAAGAGATCATATTTTCATCGAGTAAGTTACCTCTGCTTATATTCATGATCATGTATTGAAACAGCTTATTAGTCAATTAGTGCCTTCTAGATGGGTTTGAAAGTAGGTCGACAATGCAAAATTATCTTTTATTAGGAATATATTGGAAGTTTGAAATTAGATCATCACTTTGAATTCTTGTTTGACTCTCTCTTACCGTATCGCACTGTTGCTTTGTTTCTCCATCATGAAAATGGACCAGATTGGTCAGGTAAATCTCATCTGTAATCTTTAACCGCAAAGCATCTTTACTTTTCACTTTTCCTTCCCTTCGTTTCCTTAATCATATGAAACAGTATCAAGTTACATTTACTAAATTTATTAACCACCTAAATCCTACTTATGTGAAATGCGGTCTAATAATTGTATGACAATCCATCACGTTCAGATTTATAATATGAGATGATATGCTTATCAAATGTCACATAGGTTGGGACAAAGAATTGGGGTTTTAAGCATTTTTCATATCCATAACGCATCTTTCGATTAAATTAGCTAGCTAGCTAAATTATGTGGGAATGAGAGTCCACTTGTTACATTAATTATTATCGTCATAAACTCATCACTTGTCATGTAATGTCGCCTAAGATGGTCCAAAATATTAACCTTTAGCATTACTCGTATATTATTGGTTTAGCTACGATCAATCTATAAAATTTACTTTCTTTCAAGTAAATTACTAACTAGGTCTTAGTTTATTGGTATTTCTCTTTCAAATATTAAAAAGAAGCTTCGAGTTCAAAACTCCAATCCCCGAATGATAAAACTGAAAATAAAAAGTACATGTTCAAAACGGACTCACATACCCTTTCATCTAAGACTTAATATAAACTAATTCAAACCTTGATCCTTGATTGACGTATTCTGCTGTTCAAGAAAAGGACTGCACTGCACCAACAACTGCACAGACACCAAGTTAACTTATTGCTGCAGCCAAACATTCTCTTTGTTAATCACAATTTTAAATTCTGTTGACTGTAGTTGTGGCATAGCTATTGTTTGTTTCCTATTTGGAATGAATAAAAAGACAGTTTAAGTACAGACAAATTCAAGACCCCTAGGAAGGATTCTAACTCAAAAAAGAAAAAAACATGGTTTCAAAAAAAATCAAAAAGATCTAGAAGAGGAATTGTGTCTTTAGCTCTTAGCATCAAGTAGAAGCAACTATATTCCTTTCCATATGTCAAGGCTTTACAGCTCACTTTTTTTATCTATTGCATGTGCCCCTCGGCCTCTCGTTTGAAATTCTGATATTTGAATAAAAAGGAAAATTAAAACAATAATCAGTTTTCATAATTGAAAAATAAGTAAAAGCGTTATTGTTCTCTCTTTTCTCTTTCTTAAACCTGAAAACCGAAATGGTTATAAAACGGACTTGATCTGGTAACCTAATGTGTGACAATCTTTTAGGCTTGATGAGACCATTTGATTAATTTCCAAAAACTCGGGTTTATAAATATTGATGTAAAATTCACTAGGATGTTTTATTAGTTAATTTCTCCATGTGTTCAAACAAAAATATATCCATGAATTCAATGTGTAAAAGGAAAATTACAAAATGATTAGACGGGCCTCGTGATTATTACAATTTTGTTCTTTTTTCTTCTTTGAAAACAAAATCATGAGAAGAAATGCTACTTTTGGAGAGGGTAAAGGGATACCATCATCACGGATTGTTCTTCTACCAAGATGGGGAAAAACGTCAAATCTTGACAAACCAACCAAATGACATTGATAGAAGTTAGCTTAAAATTCCGTTGTAAGTGAAATTTAAAAAACAAATCTTGATAGAAAATGAAGATAACGTATTCTGTGGGATATGTGCATTCTTGGACTGCCCGTAGCAATTCAACCCATCATTCATTCAACCGTATTTTGGAAGGGCTAAAAGTGCACTACTTTATTGGAGCAAAATTTCTTATTTGAAGTATGACAGCCGAACTTCAGTTTTGGGGTGAATTTGCTACCTCCATCCATTTCCGTTAAACCTTTTTTTGCAGATATTTCTAAAGACACCCATAAAATATTTTTAGACACCCCAATTCATACAAACTTATCAGGAAATTCCAATTAATTCTACCCCTTTAATTTAAAAGGCAATATTCAAAAGAATACAAAAACAGAATCACCCTGACCGCGCTGTCCGCAAAGACTCAACTCCCTGCAGCTCTCATGCCTTTTTTTTTTTTGTCAATAAGAACTTTCATTAAAGGAGAGCAGTCCAAAAAGATTACAACTCAAATAAGGAGAAGCATAGCCATGCGACAAAACAAAAGTGCATGCAAAGCAAATAAACTCAATATACCCTTACAAACTGCTACAAGAAAGAGCCCCCCAGTATGGAAGTGGTACGACAATCCAAAATCAGTCTCTTGGCCATCTTGAACAGCGCATGCCTTGTAGAACAGCAAAAAATCACCGAAATCCCAATTACCAAATTACATTCACAGATTCTTATGTTACGGTTGTCTTGTATATTCACTTCAATTCAAAAAGAAATACACAGTAGAGAGATTTTAGCAAGTACACGCCGTGTAAATTTTCTTGGGTAAACCTATTTACCAAGTACATGGGCAGTATCTGCCGTTGGATGAATATGGCTGAATCAATCAAACATTTCAAGGGTGGAAAAGGGGCCTTTTTTAATCATTTTCTCTAAATTTTTCACGTGAAAATAGAATATAACAGAGATCAAACAAAACGATTACTTACTAAACGTGCATCTCTTTTTCTTTGACTTTGGCCTTGTGAAAGTGATCACAAACACAATTTTCTTTTCAAATTTACAAAGCATATGGTACTTTGAAACCACAAAATAATCATGGAAGAAAACATGACAATATATTACAATTCCACTGCCATGAATAACAGGCCTAACCCATTATAAATCATTTGGGCAACCACAATTCACAGCAAAAGGTTTCTCTATAAACTGATACACAACTTTCGGACCCAAAAAAATAAAAACTGATAGTCGGTCAATCATTTTCGACAAAACTGAAGTCATCAGTCTAATTTTGTGTTCATACAATGAAAACACAAAGGTGATACAATTTCATGCCCATGGCAAAAATGATACCAGATCACCAGAGAAAGCTTGAAGCAGCTCGGTAAACATTCTATGAATTTATATAAAACCCAAAAAAAAAAAAATTTAAAAATAAATGCTATCTCTAAGTACTACAAAAATAAAATGGAAAGTCAACAAGAAGTCCATTAATGTGCAAAGACTATTTCACTAACTGCTTTCAAACCAACTAATTTCCTTCCAAAGTTAATTGACAGCTAGTCAAAACCCTTGAGCCAAAATCTTGAGATGCCCTTCTTGTATGCATAAAAACAAACGGTCCCGTGCGCCAAGCATAACCAGAATGAAAAAATTCCGGAACCAAACAATCAGACTCTTGGGAATCTCAGCCTTCTTAGCTTAGTCTCACATTTTGCCTTGTCTTGATCATCCGCTTAAGGGTTGCAAGCCAGAAGTTGCACTCATCCCATTCACTAGTGGTAAGAAGCACCTGATAGCAGGCATAAACAAAAGAAACCAATAGTAAAGCTCAGCCATTCATGGTGTGCCAAAATACATTAGGAGCCTAAAGTTTCCAAAAATGTACCTGGATTTGCAGGGCAGTACCGAAATCACCATTATCCAATGCCTGGCATAGCTGAACAAGCTTATCAGCAGCATTTCTAGATATGTCCCCACTGTTGAGTTTGGCAAATAATGCACCTATCTTCCTCGAATTGTCTTCTATTTCACGCTTCTTGCCAGGATTTGCACGAGAACCTCCCAACGCTTCAGATGTCTCATTGAAAAGTCTTGTTAATGTTGCGATAACGGATTTTTGTTGGGCTGTAGTGCATTATCCACAAATAAAACAAGATTGTTACACAACCACAGGCTGGAAATTCAATGTGGAAAAAAGAAGAGCCACCAAGAAG